ACACTAAAATGCACCAAATGGTGTTTCGTCTTGTGGACATTAACAAGTCGACTAGAGTGGGAGAATAATTGGCTTCTGGTCGGTCGATACCTCTAACAACCAGACGTAATTAATATCTCAAGTGGAATGATGAATTTTTTGTGTAGACAAGTTGCTTCTGGTGAAGATTTTGCTGTCAGAAGGAAGAAAATTGCACGATTTTTGCGTGGTAGTGTCGCCTGAAGTGCATTGTGAATACATTTGTGATTCACTCGCACAGCTACCTTTTGCAGGTGAAATTGGAAGACTTAACTTCAGAGACTTCCGCATAACCAATCAGCTAATTAGAGGCGTCGATTTCACATCCAGTTACACCGCAACTCCCAATCACATATTTAACTTGCACGTCTTTAAGCAAAGCATTAACCGCAAAAGCGGGAGATTCGTTTCGCTTTCTAGACCACCGGAAACACGCCACACACGCAAACTGTTGTTTAAAATTGAGCAATTTTAGACAGTTTCTATTTGAAATTGCGTGCACGGTGAACACTGGGAATGCAGATTTTGTGTAGTGCTCAAGTTTGTGCAAAACGATGGAGACTGCCAATGTTCGAGTATCTTCACGATTTGTTTGATGGCAACGAGATGTCTGTTGGTTATGTCATGGCGCAAGTTTCAGGCCACTCAACAAACACCAACACATCTGTGCATACTGGCCCCACGTCTAAGATGGAATCTGCCTTGAAAATGAACATCTTCATGGATGTTTCGACTGGCAAGGAAATTTCTTGTCCTAAGCGACCTCATACAGATGACTTTTGCAATTGTGTCAGGACAATTTATTCACACAAACAGACATTTTAGCAGTTTAACGAATGCAGCAACGGCTTGCCAAATGTCCATGGCCTGCCTTCAACAATTCGCTCCGAGAATACTGAGGACCGTAATTAGAAGGTAAATATCACATAGACAGCAAACGGTGAAATTCCACAGTTTGGCAGATTAGTAGTATGTGGTGGACTAAAGCAAAACACTACATCCACAATCAACGCATCAATAAACCCGATTAGTGTGTGTGTGTGGGGGGGGTATGCGGTTAGTGAGGTAGAGAATCACAGATATGTCAATGAAATTTGTTGCCAAGCCTTTAGTGCTACTGGAAGCAAGCATTTCCCAAATCGATTGGGAAAGTGACCGACTGAAACCAACGTCTCAGTTCTGCCGCTGCCTGCATATCGATTAGTGCGACATCAATTTCATGAACTTCATTTGATCAAGTACTCAAATATGTCCATAACACATTCAAATGATTTCATTGGTTAGCGTTGACAAGTGAAAATTGGTCAATCGTGACTGCTTTCATGTGTGAGTGATTCTGATTGGTTGGAAGTCAGCTGGCAGGACTTTTTCAAAAATCGATCGATGTCTTGACTGCATTTATAACGCTCAACATTTTTGCATTTTTTTAGAGCAAAAAAACTGGTATTTGGGTCAAAAGCGTAATTTACCGTTTCAGGAGGCGAAGTGCCCAGCCACAAAATCAACTTCACATTTATCTTGTGGTCAGTAGTGAACTTAATGTAATGAAGCGAAATGATACTAGTGGCAGGAAATTACGGGAAAGGTTTTTGATCTAAATTTAACACAATGTAACAGTAAACTGCGGCATCAAAACATGAGTACAATTATGACACTTGATGCTAGAGCAATGTCGACATTAAAGTTATTTTTTTTAAATAATGAATAAATTAATTAACCAAATTAAAGCGTGAACAAAATCTAAACCATAGCAAGCGCATAAATTTTAAAATAAATGCTACTTTAAGCGTGTTGTAGGAAAACTCATATGAAGTCACTTGACATTTTCTGTGGTTAAATTTCACTTCGACGACCACAAATTTTTGCCTTATGTGACAAGATATACATTGTTGCATTAAAGGCAACATTAAAGTTCGCTTTTTGTAAAATAATGAATAAATTGATGGAATAATCAAAAATGCTTGCCTCACCTGTGGTAAATACGTGACAATGTAGATAATCATAATGGCCAGGAGCATGTGCGATGTCCGGCTGTGCGAGCGTTTCCTCAGTTTCCCTGCCAACGCCACCTGTTCGAGGGGGTTGGGAGGGGCCTCGCTCCACTCCGTGCCTGAAAAAGCCCCGCCAGAGATCTTCCTGTTTTTCTGGCTCTTTGTACGTCGGGCTCGTTGGTGAATGCTGACCAGGAGCATGGAGGAGAGGGTGATCATGCTAACCAGGGGCAAAAGTTTGACAAAAATCGCTGCATTCCAGTACACAAGGAGGCGGTACACAATATTATCCACGTAATTCACCGTGTACATCTGGGTGAGATTCTCGTGTTGAACTGATCTCAGCTCGAGATCGCCTGGTCCAAGGTCAGAACTGGCTGATTCCACGTGATGCGAGATCATGCAGGGGATGGTGAAGAAGCAGGCGGTGAGGATGACAATAACGACGGCAATTCCAGCTCGCCGTTGGCTGCACAGGATATGGCATTTGAGGAGACAGCGTGCATAGAGCAGGCGGAACACCGCTAGGGTTATGATGATGCCGCAGGAGAAGATGTGGAGGATATTCTGGAGATTCACGTGAACTAGCAGATAGAGGGCCATGGGGTAGGTGAGTGAACGCATTCTACCGCCGTTCACGAAGTAGGAAACGAAGATCACGTAGATGAACATGAGACACGCGTCGGAGACGGCGAGACAGGTGAGTAAGAAGTTGGTGGGGGTGCGCATTCGTCGTTGGTTGAGGACGATGATGTTAAGGAGGTTGGAGAACACCCCCAGGGGACACCAACAGAGCATTAGGTACACGTGGATGCTCCCGTATATTTGATGGAACTCCACTAGCGTTGTGATTGGTGAACAATTCGGTGTGATCTCGTAGGGCATGCTTATGGTGAGATTCGATCTGTTCATCTTGATGGGAATTCTGGATTAGAGTAAATTTTTATTATGGTAAAATCACAATCCTCTGCCATCTGATTATCCACTACTTTAATATCTATTAACATTGTGAATAAAGGTGACGTACTAAGAAGATGTGTTAAAATTGACCGAATACGCCAACGTGGAACTTTCACTTCCATAAATCAAAATTAGTTTAAAGTTTGCCACAAAATCAAGTGCTTCCTGAACTTCCCATGATTGGCTGAATTATGGCCTTGGGTAAATTTAAAACAAATGGAGATTTAAAAAACGGCATTCGATGTCTTCTCTAGAATTAATGCTTTTTAATTCTGGGGTCGAAACAAAAGTCACTTTATTCTTCTGCCCTTTGCAATTTCCTCTCGCAAACAAGATCGCAGTGTGATTTTACTGGTGACTGTATCAGACGAATTCGATGTCACCAGATTTTGAAGTGGACGGATTTATTTATAGCGAAGCACGATTTTGACATTTCTATACTATGCATATTGATGAAGTTTCAGTGGCAAAAGCAGTGCAGACGATGTTTACCGCACCATCAATGAAGATGAAGCGTTTTGGATGCGTTTCTAATTGGTTGTGCTGAGTCAATTTCCGCCAATTTTATGCCAAACCTAATTATCAAGTTTTCCAAATCAATTTAGAACATTCTAGACGATATTTAATTGATGAGAGGAGAAGGCACTTAGTGTTTAGTCGACTTGAAACAGTTTTAAATGAATCGTGACTTTACTTTGGTCATCCACACACTGTAGTAAGGTTTACCAGAAAGTCGATAGGTGTGTTAGAGTGTAGAATCTCTAGGATGGAGATTTGTGAATCAATGTAACCTATGTTAACCAATCACCAACAGGAAAGAAGCATTGATTGTTTAAAACGTTGGTTTTTGTACAGCTTCATGTTCGAAACGCTCAAAACGAAATTAAGCACGTCTATCAAATATCAAGAAAAAATGATTTAAACACTAACGGTGGTTTTTTTAAAAACACGCATGCTGCTATGCGGGAAAACAACGTCTATTTCTACATGAACCCACAAGTTTGAATCTTTTAAAAATGCGACTGACCAGGTAGTGGGATAGAGAAACTCTCACAAAGGGCAAAATTAGACTAACCTAAATTGACCTCGACATCGCGGTAAAAGCCGTCGAAGCACGTGCCATGTCCTTTAGGAAACTGGGCGACTTACTTCACCCATCCAAGACCAAAAATTGCGCAATTCTGATTGGCTAATTGAGGTTCGCGAACGTGCGGAAGACAGGTCAGCCCGTAGCAGGCGTGAAAGTGGACAGGTGCTACGACAAACACCCCAGAAAAAAATTACTTTCAAGGTATCAGGAATTTTACAGGAAACAGCATTGATTGTTCTGTGTTAAAAAAATAATTTAAAAAAAACAAGTAAATTAAGTTTGCAGCAAGAATACGTCAATAATCGATTTGCATTTAAACATGGCGGTAATTTGAAAAATTTAAAGTAACCAGTAGAATTTAGTGAAACAGCAATTGGCTAATATCCGCCTAAAACGTATAAAAATGTTGTTAAAAGATTTATAGCAAGAATGATGCGCTATGTTTATTAAATGCCCAAAACGCGGTGAATCAATTCCAACACACACAGATCACCACTGATCGCATAATTTACCGCAATTCAACCCTTTAATTTACTAGCTTGGAAGCTCAATTGTTGCCTGTTAAGGCGGCTACTTAATTGCCGCGGAAGACGAAAATTAGAGGAAGCTTCAAAGAGAAAATAATTAATGTGGTATTTATCGTTGTGTTCCATCATTAAAGTATTCATGGCGAATGAGGCAGAAGTGAACCTGGTCTACATACTGACCGCATGTTTATCGAAAAGGTTAAAAGTTGTGTGAAGAAGGGTAAAACAGCAAACTTTTCACGGAGGTCGGCTTAAGTACCCACAGAAGATAATATGAACTTCGAAAAGTCCAGAAAATTTTAGAAATGTCAGGTAATTCCATTGTGATAGAGATTATTTAATTTCGTTGTAGGCAAATCATAAATACCTCACGCAAAATGTTATTTTTTTGGCCTATCCAGTGAGACCTGTTCTTTAATTGAGATGATTATCGATTTATTGCGTTGCCAATAGCAACGCCGATACAAAACAGGTGACCCAGACATGTGGCACTTTGACAAGCTGAATGTGTGTTTGTTTATATTGCGTGTTTTAGCAAAAATGTTACTTTACTTTCTGAAACAAGACCTCGTGAGCGGGCATCCGACGCTGATTTAACCACTCACAGTAGATTCATTATATATAATTATTAGATGCGTTATTAAGCTTAGGTTGGGTTATTCTGATCAATTTACTAACGCAAACAGTTTCCGCCATGTGACAGGGAAGAAACTGAGAGCTGTGAATAAGCTCGGCTACTGTGCCTCTTATTATTATTGTTGTTGTTTAATCAAGCGTGTTTGCTTTTTCTGGAAGGGGGGATTCCACTTTAACAGAGATGTATTACTTGAAATATCAAACAATTCAGCCAGCCACATAGACATCAAACGTTAATCTACAACGCAAGTACAAATAATTCACTCTAGTCAATGTATTAAGAGCAATTTTGAATTCTTCGTCTTCACCGTTTATATTCACGCATTGAGCTAGCTTGTTGGCATTTTGCAGCGTGCGAATGGACAGAGATGATTGGCTGTGCGTGAGAACCAATGGAAAGTTGGGCTGAGTCATCGACACCAATCAACATGAGGCAAGTTGTGATTGGTCAGGCTTTTGCACATTCGTCTCCATTCTCTTTACGTAAATCAGAAAGTGCCAATAAGATGTGTACACTTGCCGGACTTTGTATATTACAGGAGGTCTTCATTTCTAACTGTCAGAAAATTGTCTTTCACTTTGGCAGGTAATTTATTTGAATGATTTGCCTAAAGGTGTGCTTCAAATTGGACGAAAACGACACGATATCCCTACGCACGTCCTAGGCAAAACCAAGATTACTGGTAAAATTGTAAAAAGTATGAGTTAAAACTGCTGATGCTGGTCCTGCAAATGCATTTATGGTCCTGAAATCGTTGAGTTGCTCTCTTGGGAACATTTTGAATTGGAAACAAATAATTTCTTCATTGCAACAACCTCGACGCGAGGCTAATTTTTTGTGTTAGTCAGAGCAAACCCACGGCTACATCCCGGGTAGATTTGATTCTGGTTGTAGGGGGTCGAAGGTACTTCGGAGTTCCGGCATGGCATTCATTAGCGGTCGCTCTCGGGCCAGCCATAACGTAATCTACCTCAACACTGACGCTTAATCTCGAAAATGCCGAATGCGTGACTAAGTCAACTGTGGGCTGCGTTGGGGAGCAGGCAGGGGGTAGATGTTGCGTTGTGTTCTTTTTTCCCCAACTTGCTGCCGAGTTAATGCACAATGTGCCTGACTTAGCGCGAATAATTTGACAATCAACGACAGTGCTGTGTAGTTTCCTCAAGACTAGCATTGGTCGGAATTCGGTTAAGGGAGAGCAAACACGGCCGTAGCATTAGAAATTGAGCCATTTTTCATGTAACAACGTAATATAGTTTGGTCTCGTTTTGGATTTCATCGTAAGAACACCTTGTATCCGCAATTAAACACCTATTTTCAAAAAGATGTGTTTGGTTAGCTTGTTCGTTTAACACGCCAACAACTAGAAACTAAGTCGCAAATTCGGAGAATGCTCTCCAGCCTAAAATCTGTTTACTACAGGCACTCCATGGCGTGATCTTGTATAGTAACACTGGTAGCCGATACCCGAACTCAAAGTCTGCAAATGTGTTTCAAGGTTGCTAACGCCAAGGTCAATCAGTAAACTGGCAGCCAATGAGCGATTCGCAAACTGATCGCCAACATGACCAATTCGTAGTGTGGTAGTGGAACGTCTACGAGATCAGATGTGCCAGGATATTCAACTACATTTGATGACAAGTCCTCCACAAACTCCTTCCCATTCAACACTGTGGCTGTTACAAGTTAATTTCCAAGAATTACGACATTCAACAGATTATTTGACGGTTAAAATGAAATCAAGCGATCGCCCATCTCAGTGCAACACGATTTGGGAGAACTGCTAAGGGCTATGGTGGCTTATTGGCTGATCAGAGCGATGCCTGTGGAGATTCGCATAGGATGACGCGAATTGGATAGTCAGAGTACCCGTCACATTAATCAATGCCTCATCGCTGATGTTGTTGCTGCTGCAATTGCTGCCCCCGCCGACTACATGGCTATGTCGTGAATGATGCGGACACGAGCTTGGTTCCGGAGAACACCAAATATCGAATCCATTGCGTCTGGGATTGTCGTCGCAACGCAGTGGAAGGTAACTTGCAGACCTCCACGAGACAACCTCCAACTACCCACTTGCAGCATTTCGCGTGCACTGCTGACCTTCCTGGGACTCCATTTGGCGATAAGGTGTTTGTCAACAACACGGCTAAACATCACTAACCTCGTTAGTGGTCATAAACAATTTGGCCCAGATGGACCTGGCAATCGCCCTCATTTCCAATGCTCAGATATTTTAAGCACGAATTTGGTGTCGATTGCACACACAAACTTTCGATTAAACATGAGACAAATTATCACAGCTCCAGTCGCTGTGTCAAATGATGGCTTAATGCCACTCTACGACGTAATGAGAGCTCATTTCCGGTCCAGTTGCAGCGCAGTCCGCTGCTCAGGAAATGCACGTTGCTCGTCAGAATATATGTGAGGGTGAGAGTTTGAATTCATCCACACTCTCTCCACACGGCGCATACCACTTTGGTGAGGATTGGTGTGGCTGGTTTGTTTCACATTTACTGCGTCAAATAATCAGATGATGAGTGATGTGTTGGCTGATGGTGTGATTCCATGCTGTGAAGAATATTTCAGTCCTCCGCTACCACAGGTCGCGCTCATTCCGTCAGTACTTGAATCTTGGCCAACGACTTATCGTGTTGAAACCAGTAATCGG